TCTTTATTTTAAATCTTAATCCAACACATTTGGATATACAACATTTTTTGTTTTTCCATCTTGGGTATGAATAAATAAACAATTTGGAACGCCAACTCTTGAACAGGCCACGTATAGCTACCAATTCCAGTAATCTACCACAAATATTTCAAGAGATATACCAGATGAAAATTTTTGTTAGTATGGGTGGTGCCACGCCCCCTTTTCCGAATTCGGGGAAACTTAACACAAACCATCTGCATAATAGCCCGACTATGCCGTATAAATTTGGTTGAAATCTTGCACTTATTCTTTATATATAAGACGTGAGGTGCCACGCCCTCTTTTCCAATACCAACCATTTTTATCCATGAGTATGGAATTATTTGTTATACCTCTATACCAACTTCCAGTACTCTACCACAAATATTTCAAGAGATATACAACAAAAAAATTTTAGTTAGTATGGAAGGTGCCACACCCCCTTTTACGAATTCGGGCAAACTTCACATAAACCATCTGCATGATAGCCTCAATATACCGTATAAATTTGGTTGAATTCGGTGAAGCCGTTCTCAAGTTATAAGCTCACACCAAAAACGTGTACTTATTTGTATACATAAGATACATACATATGCTACGCCCCTTTTCCAAATATGGGCAAAATCCACATAAAATATCTGCATGATGGCCCGAATATGCCGCATAAATTTGGTTGAATCCGGTGAAGCCGTTCTTAAGTTATATTGTCACACCAAAAACGTTCACTTATTTTTATATTTTAGCTAGTATGGGTGGTGCCACGCCCCCTCTTCCGAATTCGGGAAAACTTCGCATAAACCATCTGCATGATAAATCGAATATGCCACATAAATTTGGTAGATTTCGGTGAAGCTGTTCTCAAGTTATGCGGTCACACCAAAAACGTGCACTTATTTTTATATATAAGATGTAGGTAAAAAAATTTAGCTACCATTTTTAGCCACAACGACGATTTTTAGCTCTTTTTTAGCCCTTTTTTAGCTGGAATTTAGCTACCACTAAAAACGTTTCGCGGCAACACTGCTCACAAGCATGAATATTTTCCGCTTTCAAATAAATACAGAGTAACCGCCTTAGATATTATATCAAGATTTTTATCCATGGCGCAATAAACAGAGAAGTAATAAAATAGCTTTCTCGCTTTATTTTCTGACATTCGGCTGCCTTAAGTTCTGAACACATTGAAAACGACCAGCTACGGACCACAGCCTCCAATTTGTCATCTTCATTATCTAAATGCATTGTCGATGGCGACATGATTTATTTGAACGCGGCAGCGACATCATAAATTTGTATGAGTTTGACATAAAAGAAGAGGAAGAACGTTATCTGTCGCCAGAAAAATAGAAATAGATCTAATCTGGCCACAATCACAGCCGTCGCGTAGCCCGGTCGTCGCCAAAATAATTATCTACATAAGAGTACGTGTTAAAATAATTTGACAGCTGTGGTTTGTAGCTCGTCGTTTTCATTGTGTTCGGGCTATTATAGGCAAATTTTAAAGGCAAGTTTTCAAATAAGGCAGTGTCAAAATCTTTCTTCTCGCTCTAATTACTTCATCTGCACCCGGATTCCAACTTTCGCTATCTCTGAAATGCTAAAAATAAAGCTAAAATTTGATCCGAATTTTTGGCGATCACCGCGATTCTGTTCAGCCTGTCGCTAAAAATTGCTTAGCCTAAATTTTACTACTCTTACTACTTACTCATCCGGCCGCCAGGGCCGCTGTGCAGCAACGGCAGCTGTCAAATTTTGTTTTGATTTTAATAGTGATAAATAATGAAAACAAGAGTAAGTAGAACTTTGCAATAATGTTGACCGATTTATTATAAATTCATAAAACTTATGAATAAAATTAATAAAGTACAATCGAAGAGTTTTGGATTGCTAATTAAATAAAGTGTTTGTAAAGTGAAAACTAGTCGGTTAATTAAGCATTTTGTTGCAACCATAAATACAAAAAACTGCTGTAATGCTATTCATGAAAACCAGCAATAAATATAAAACTTAATTCACTATGCAAGCCGCTTCTTAAGTTGCTAGCCATTATTTACTAAACCACACACCCAATCGTTTCTTGGAAGGACGATGGTCATATTTTATGAACAATGGTGTGGTTACTGCAAACACACGGAGCCAATTTTCGGGCAAGTTGCTCTGAAACTACATGGACTGAATATACGAGTAGGAAAACTTCTTTGCACACGATTTTCGTATTTACCGCGTGAAATGAAAATTTGTTCCTATCCAACAATAATGTTTATTAAAGGCAGTGCAAACGATGTTTTTAATGGCGATCGCATCAAAAATAGTTGGTTGAATTTGTTCTGTGACATGGCCAGAAAGTGTTGATATATGTACATATATATTTATTTCATACAAATATATGACTTTTTTTAATTAAGAGTCAAACCAAATACATAAATACCCTGCAGTGAAATCCCAAACTAGTCAGGAAAAATACAAGTTTACAACTAGAATTCCCTGACAGAAACCGAACTAGTTCGAAAATAACCAGACTTGTAGCAAGTACAAAACGATTTATTCATGTCCTCTTTTATTTGACTTCGACAATTTAATGATATAAATTACACAAAATATAATCACTTTTATTTGGGTATATTGTAAACCATTAAATAGAATACGTATTCAATTATACCAGTCCGGTTAAATAATGATTAATATTCATAATGATTATTGATTAAAGCATGTTTTTGGATAACCGTTTAATGATTAAACACCGCTATTACCACCTTTTTAATGATTAATAATTAATTAATTAAAAAAATGTTAATTAAATCATTAATTTTAATTACATCATTATTTGGTTATTTTTGATAATTTTCAATTATTTTTGACTTTTTTTTAATTACACGATTAATATAATTATTTGATAAATTTATATTATCAATCAACAAGCCGATCTATATACAAAAATTAAGAATATTTAATAACTGCTTGAATTATTTATTTATTTTATTCTTATCCAAATCTCAAATTTTAAACACTAATTATTACTTTT